CGAACTCACCTTTCAGTTGTAATTGATCTAGCGAGACAAGTTTGTTAACCATTATACCACGCCGAAATGTACACTTATATATATATATATATATATATGTGTGTGTGTGTGTGTGTGTGTGTGTGTGTGTGTACACTAATTCATTATAATAAGACAATATGTATGTATGTATGTATGTATGGAGAGGGAATATACATATACATACGCATACTAACAAAAACACACAATAAAAAATGGAAATAGATCTAAGAACATACAAGGGTCATTAAAAGATAGGAATACAGATTTCTTTCTTCACCCTTTATTGGACCAATCTTAATTGTTTTATTACCCTTCAAGCAGAACTTTCTCACCGATAGTCCAAGAAAGACATTTATGTATTTAACACCCAAAAAAGAGAATGTTTAACATCGAGAATATTTAATATCGAAAAACAAGGAAAATTAATTCATTTTAATAATACGTGGAAATATCCACTCTTTGCCTGATGAATATCGCAAGACCCGAAACAGGTGTTGCAAAATTATGGAAAATAAAGCATGATATATATTTTTTAAAAGATCAACATTACAACCAAAAACGTTTGCGGTTTTCTTCTTCCTTTTAATATATACACTTTTCTCTCGTTGGAACAACTATAACATCTTCCGTGTATATATATATATATATATATATATATATATATATATATATATATATATATAATGGATGTAAGCAAATGTAAATGGATGTTGATCCGACAGAATGAAGGAAAATTTGGAAAAAACAAACAAAAATCCTTAAATGCAATTTTGTTGTTTAAAATGAATGAAATGTCGACGTCTGACGTTTCGGTTTAATAAACCTTTTCAAGACAATATTCATTAAAATACAATTCAGTTCCAATTTGACAAAGACGATGGACATAAAAAACAAAAAAATTCTTTTCCAAAACGTTGTAACTGAAAATTTTTAAAATGATCCTAATTTCCGTTTTTTCTTTTTCATTCAAAATAATCACATTTTTATGAATATTGTTTTCAAAACGTCGCCCTGTGACGAAACGTTTTTTGATGCTAAACGGAAAGCTTCATTTTAAAAATTTTCTTTTCTGTTCAAAATAATCAAAAATTTTTATGTCCACGTTTTTGTCAAATTGAACTGAATTGTATTTAATGAATATTGTCTTGAAAAAAGGTTTATTAAACCGAAACGTCAGACGTCGACATTTCATTTCATTTTTTTAAACAAATATAATTGCATTTAAGGATTTTTGTTTGTTTTTTCCAAATTTTTCTTCATATATATATATATATCAGTCTTATCTACTACTACTGGTGGAAGCTAATTTATTTAACTATTTAATATAAACAATAACGCTGAAAGTTGCCTCGTCCATACCTCAAGTACAATAACAAGGGGAGATATTCACAAAAGTAATCAAACTCAAAAGCCCTCGTTCCAATCTGCATAATCTAATTAAGACCCAGCTGATGATTCATAAACTGGATATGCATTTGCTCTGAACAAAGAGGGAAAGAATATTCAACAGAAGTCATATTCATTTAAATTGATGACACAAAGTTAACCCAACTACGTTTTGGTGTTACCATCAACTTGGAAATTATTTCCGGTCATTGTCATCTTTAATGATAATAAAAGGTAAAACCTCATTCATTCAAGTGGTCATTGTAGTACGATCTAAATTAGATATTTAGAATTTATTAATGTCATCCTCATTAAGCCAGCTGTTGACAAGATGACGGGGCTTATTTTTTTTTATTAATTAACTGAATTATAGAAGAGAGTGAGAGAGAGAGAGAGAGAGAATTTAAAAAGTACCTCGTCGAAAATCCTGGTTGGAAGATCACCAATCACTCACGTACCTTCCCTAAACCTTTAAACATAACTTCTTGGTTGTGCTTAGGCGGTGGGAGAAGGATTGGATTCTGACGATTAGCGCTGTTAAAAATCTATTTCTGTGATTAAAAATTAGAAAGATTATCCATGATATAAAATCCCCAAAGAACGTTTGTAAAGAGGTAACGAAACGAAAAAAGAAATCATTTAGACCAAATCTCATTCTTGTGATTCGATAAGCTAAACACTACAGCTTGATTGACATCTGAAATGTGACAGATCTATTTTCTCTGCAGATCCGCCTTATCTTTTCTTTTGTCCCTGGTTTTTATTAAACTATAGACCAATTAAGACGACATGTAAAACATGATGGAATAGATGTGTCTTTCCTGTTGTTTACGTATACATTTGTATTAAAGCGTGTTTGATGTTTTTGTATTGCGAGTAATGTCATTGTTTGATTTTTTAGGGCAACGTTTCTAAGATCAAAGCTTTTAGAATTCGTAAATATTTATTAAAAGCCACCGTCTTTTTTCAACTTTAAAAGCTGAAGACTAAAAACCGTCGACGTAACATTAAAATATATAAAATCAGAATTTTAGGAAGGCTGAAGTATATGTCGGCATTTAAGCAAAATAAAATGTAATGTATACAAATGTAAACATTTAGGCATATATGTTGATTGTAGTTATGTATTTCTGTATATGATGTTATATATTTAACTGTTACGTATAAACAGATATTCTC